CAGTGATTTTCTTTACATGACTGGTCAAGTCTAAAATCCTTACCCCCATCCCAGTATTTTATTATAAAGATTCTTAAGTATTCGGCAGAGTTTACAAGGAACTTCACTAAATTCATCATCCAAATCCTGCCATTAACATCTTACTGGACTTGTTTTTATCTCATACCCACCATCTGCACATCCCTATATCCATCTGTTCATCAGCTTGCTTTTTGATGCATTTCAGTATAAATTGCAGATATTATTACAGTCAAAACTAAATACTTCTGCATCCAAATTAGAGTTAAACATTATATATAGTTTTTCTTTTGCTGTAAAATTTATATTGCAAGAAGTGCTAAAACCTTGACACACATTCTGTGAATTTAGAATAATGCATGCATATGTGTGCATTGATCCTTATCAAGATATAGAACTTGCCAGTATCACCGCTCTTTCCTTCAGACTGCTTTCTCAGTTTGCATTACTATTCTTGCCCCCATAGCAACTATTGTTCTGAGTCCCTCTCCCACCATAGGCTACTTGTCTGTTGTAGAATTTCCTGTAAATGGACTTATACAGTATGGACATTTTTGCTAAAGACTTCTTCAGTAAATTTCAGATTTTTCACCCTATTTATTGAAACCCTTCACTAGAATTCCCTAAACTTTCACTCTGTTTTTATTTCTCGAACAAACTCCTTTATTCTCTCAGGCAAACATTACAGTTATTCTGTTAATTTTCCCAGGTCAGATTCTTGGAATATTTCTGCATTTTCCTTTCATAATCTTTCCATGTGCAACATTTTTTCCAGAGTACTGTGTGTTATTTATGTCTTTTGATGTAAGTAATTAGAAGAAATTTTTATCAAATTTTGATAATTGGTCTGAATTATTATTATTTTACAACACTGAGTTCATATTTCAGTCCATAGAAATATTGGGGAAAAAAAAGATTTGTTGCTTTCTTTAGACTAGTCAGATGCTTGCTGTTCTGTAGCTACATCTTGGATTAGTTCAGTATTCAGGAGGGGGCATTGATTGATTTATGGTTCCCTATATGGTATGTTATCTTAAATACTAATCCCTTGTATATTTTAGAGTAGAGGAACAAACACCATGTGAATATGCCATTGTGAGAAAACAACAGACTTCTGTTGATGCTTCTGTTAAGTGAATAAAAATATTTACATTTTAACAGTATTTTGAAATTTTGAAAATCTCTTTTTCATAAAGCAATTATCCTATTTGTAGTTGCAAACCTGTAAGATGGGAAACAATATTGTCTCAATAATATAATTGAATGAGTAATGATGAAACTAAAATGCAGACTTTAGTGGTAGTGAATGAGTGGTTTGCTTTGAAGAGGGAGGTAAAGGATATGAAACCTGAATCTTGTGGTACCCATGTACCACAAACTCCTTATATAAATTTTAAATTTGATTTCCTTTTTTCAATTGGATTTAGGCTTGAGGTTCTTCTTTCCCTCTCCCTTTTCAAAAAAGGATTTTCTGGGATGTATTTTCTGAGATCTGAAAATTACTTGCTGTTGCCATTAAACATCACAGAAGGAATTCAGAGCTCTGATGACATGTTCTTGTCTTCTAGAATACGGTAAAATCAGATAATTCTGAAGCTTATCTTAATTCCTTTGAAGATAATTTGTCTTATTTTTTTCTGCCTATATTTTTGTAGTTTCTCTTTTGAATTCAAAAAAATTTATCAAAGTACACCTAGGTATGTTTCTGTTCATTGGTTTTGTGTGGTACATAGTAAACTATTTAATCAACAAACTTAGAAAATATTTCTTTATCTCAAAAGCACATTCTTCAATTATATGTTAGACTTTTTAGTCCTATTGCTTTGATTTTTTTTGAAAATAGCATTCTTGATTCTTTATCACTTTCCCCCCACAATTTTTTTCCTTCAAATTTAGAGCAATTTTCACATCTGCATTCAACATTCATGTTTTTTTCTGAGTAATTAATTCAGTTCTTTAGCTCCATATAGACTTTTTTCTCATTACATTTTAGTGTTTTCTTGCAGTCTTTATTATTTTATTTATTTTTCTTATCCCATTTATATTATTATATGTTATATAATAATATATATGGGATAAGAATATATTATAATATATAATATTACATATATATATATATATATATATATATATATATATTAGTTATAGATGGACACAATACCTTTATTTTGTTCATTTATTTATTTTTTTATGTGGTGCTGAGGATCGAACCCAGTGCCTCACACAAGTGCGAGACAAGCGCTCTACCACTGAGCCACGACTCCAGCCCTCTTATTTCTTTTCTTAAAAGGCTTTATTTAGAATTATAATTTCCATGTTACCATGTGCCTTTTCCAGAACCACTCTTCTCTCTCGTATGCACACATATATTTTCTGGAAGTCAGATTAATCTGTGGAATGTGGAAAATACTACTAAGTCATTAATCTTTGAATTTCTGATTGAAATGGTAGACTGAGGGAAGGATGAAGCATTTTTTTTCTATAATCTTTTGTTTCACATGTGGAATAATTTTTTTCAGTGTATTGTTGTGTTATTTATATCTGTTATAATGTGCTAATTTTATAATTAGAAATTTTTGGCAGATTTTGATAATTGGTCTGAATTATTATTATTTGACAACACTAAGTACATTTTATGTGCTAACACTGATATAAATTTTTAAAATGTATTAACTCATTTAGTTTTTATGACAACCCTATTGTAAAGTACTATAATTACCATTTAATAGACATAGAGAAGTTGCAAACTTTACCTAAGAGGACCTAGCTTAGTATGTGACCCAGTGAGGATGTGAACCCAGGAAGTTTGTGGTTTTTTTTACATATTGCAAGTTTTTATTATTATTATTTTTTTAATGATTATTACAGGTTGGCCTGCCTTCCCTCCTTCTTTCTTTCCCTTCTTTTATAACTATATGAAAGACTATGTCAAGGACTGATAACTAGATAGCATTTTATAAAGGTTACCTTTAAAGATGATCTTTCTTGAGTTTTAGAATATGACATATAAAATATTTATATGTACATTGTATTCTGGTTCTTACATTTTGCATTAAAATGATAAGAAAATTGTTGAAGTTTTGAAAGAATGAATTTGAATTATGAGTTTGCTGAAGACATGTGAATTTGTTCTTGTAATACTTAGCTATTGGCATTGCATTATTATTGTGAACGTTGGATTATGACAGTAATGTCTTAACACATTTATCTAATTCTCCCTAAGCACCTGTCATAAACTAAGGAATGACTTGATCATCAAGAAGAATTAGATTCATTACATTTGTTCTGCCCAATAAAGGGGCTACTATACCTGTAGCTACCTTGTGCCTGAAATGTGGCTGGTCTGGATTGAGATGTGCCATAAGTATAGAATATACCCTGGATATATTAGTATGATAAAAAAGGAAAAGAAAGTAAAATGTCTCATTAATACTTTAAATATATCTTTTACATGTTGAAATGACAATACTTTGGAAATATTGGATTAAAGAATGTATATTCAATTTTTCTCATTTTTATTTTTGTAATGTAGCTACTAGATAATTAAAATTTATATATGTGCCTCGTGTTGTATTTCTGTTGAGTAATCAAAGGTGTCTAAGATGAGTTAGCTCTTCTCTAGGAGTCTGATAGGGAAGAAAACCAACAGGCATTTAGAATGGTATGGGAAGTGAGATAGGAGCTCAGGCATAGGAAATATCTGAACCAGTTTTGATGGTCTTCAAAAGGTGACCTAGGGGCTGGGGTTGTGGCTCAGAGGCAGAGCGCGCACCTACAATGCATGAGGCACCGGGTTCAATCCTCAGCACCACATAAAAATAAAGATATTGTGTCCACCTGTAACTAAAAAATAAATATTAAAGAAAGGTGACCTATAATGCAATGGTAATTTTTTTCTTTTTAGTTTTGAGGTGTTTAATTAAATTTTTTAGATGGAAGGAAATAAATGACAAAAGCTAAGCATTTTTTTTCAAAAAAATTTTTGTTAATTTTTTTTTCCCTCATGGTATTGGTTCTCTGTGTAATGAAATAAATCAAGGCTGAAGAAGGATGTCTGGATTTAGTCCCAGAGGCCACCATTCTTTGTCTTCTCCCTGCTGCTTTGTGCAGGCAAATGGATGGTAGTGCCATTTGCTAGTTGGGACACAGATCAGTTTTAGGTCTATTAAGTTCATATTTTCTGTAGTACACCCAGATGGAGGTTAATGTTAGGTGGTTGAATGTGTGGAACCAGAGCCTAAAAAATGTCTGGGTTGGCAATATAGATGTAGGTAAACGTAAGTAAGTCATGGTAGGTATGAATCAGTAAGGGTTGAGTAACATGAATAATGAGTCTAGGGTAAACACATGAGAAACAGGCAAGGTGAGGAAAAGGAGCATAAAAGCCACTGACAAAGAATGCCCAGAGAGGGAGGAGTTTAGCCAAGGTAGCTTTCAAGAAGCAGTAAGTACAGACAAATGTGTGCTTCTTTTTCTTTTTTCTTTTTAAATTATACTTTCATTTTAAGATAAAACAGATTAACATGCAGTAGTAATAAACTACATATTCAGTATATCCTTTACCCAGTTAGTTCTCCTGATGATAATATTTTGTAAAACAATAATCTAGGATTAGTACAACCAAGATATGTGTATAGAGATGGTCAAGTTCTGAACAATTTGATCACCACAGGGATTGCCCCTGATGTTATATTATAGCCATACTCACTTCTCTCTTGGTCTCCTTTTTTGTCCTTAACCCCTGGCAGCAGCTTGTGTGTGTGTGTGTGTGTGTGTGTGTGTGTGTGTGTGTGTATACAAATATAACTTCACATGTTGTACAGGCCACACTGTAATTTTTGTAATTTGATTTAAAGTAGTAATTGTGATATGATGTTATAAATTTAAGAAAAGCATACTCACTTGAAACTTGAATGAAAAGTTAGCCTTTGAATTTAAAAAAAAGTGTTTCTTTTCTTGTTCCTCTCTCCCCTGACATCCAGGTCCTGAGGGAATCTAACAAATTAGCAGAAATGGAAGAACCACCCTTGCTTCCAGGAGAAAATATTAAAGATATGGGTCTGTAATGGTATTTTTTGTTTTATTTCCTCCTCCTTTCTGACTGCAGATTATTCAGTTCTCTTGGCACACAGAGAATAAACTGGTAACACTTATTCCCTGCAGCCTTCAAACCTCTAGTTTGTGCTGCAAGCCTCTGCTTGCACCTGGTGATAGTGTTCATGTTTGGGCTACTGGAAAATAGGAAAAGTGAATTTTACCCAATTTCATCTCTGGTTTGTTTTATTTTTATTTTTTTTAATGTAGGTGGATTTATTTTTAATTGTTGTTGAATTTCATGAAGGAAAATTTTATTTTTTTGAATTACTACATTAACATGGGATTGTATATGAAAACATTGAATTGTCACTCAAGACACATTCTCTCATGCTTGCCTCCTTTATGTTTTTTTTTCTTTTCTTCTCTGAATAAAGTCAAGTCAATTTTTGGATGAAAATACTTACCTCCATTGCAAAATAAGGTATTTGTAGAAAGATGCCTTTCTCTGTTCAGCTGGAAACTCAAAATGATCATCTAAACTGTATTTTTATCCCCATGCTCTAGCTTTATTTTTGATAATTTACACAATACTTATAGATTTTTGAGAAAGAACATGTTTATTTATTTACAGATCAAAATACTTTTTTTAGCTAAAGAAGATCAAAGTAGATATCATTTTCATTTTATTATCAATAATATTTTTTAAAAAAAAGGATTTAATGAATGCTACATTTGCCCTGGCTAGGTGTCATTTTCTTGTGTACAGATAAGCCAATGGAAAAAACTACTACCCTCTAAATGGATGGTCATTAACTGCTAAATTTAGGTTTTTAGCCTTAGCAGGGTTTTTGTCTCTTGTTGCTCTTAACACAATTGAATAACCTTCCCCTGTCTTTTTTTTTCTTCTTATCATTGTGTGTGCACTAAGCTCTCAATCTGTGAAATAATTTACTGAGCTATCATCATTGAATGTTATGACAATAGTCATTGTCTGCTTGCATTCTCATTTAGTCATTCTCAGAGTTAATAGTCTTAAGATATTAATCCTATTTGTTAGATGAGGTACACAAAACATAGGGGGATTACCTCAATAATAAAGTGATATCTAGCACTGTTGACAGTTTCTTTTTTCCTATTCTGAGCCTCATGTCTATGCTACTTCCACTGAAATATCTGAACTTAACAAAAGACTTTCAAGTTACCATTCAAGTCTCTTTCATTGGTTTTTCTTCTTTAATATCAATACTAAGACTAGACCTTGACCCATTTTCCTTTTCCCATTTATATACTATTTCAGTTGATCATATCCAAATTAATGATCTCTCATATATTGGTTGATGACTATTAGATCTGTATTTCTGTCTGAGCCTCTGTCCTAATGCATGCCTAGTAGAAATATAAGTACAAACCCTTGTATTTGTATAGTACTTTGAATAATTTTAGAGTAAAGAGGAAGGAGTCCATTATACATCTAACAAATAGGATTAATATCTTAAGACTATTAACTCTGAGAATGACTAAATGAGAATGCAAGCAGACAATAACTATTATCATAACATTCAATGATGATAGCTCAGAAATTATTCCACAGATTGAGTGCTTAGTATACACACAATGCTGAAAAGTAAAAAAAAAAAAAAAAGACTGGGGAGGTTATTCAATTGTATTAAGAGCAAGAAGAGCATTATACATGGACTTCTTCCTCTTTACTCTAAAATTATTCAAAGTACTATACAAATACAAGGGTGAACATATTTTATATACAGAGTTATGAAAACTTGTGCTGTAAATAGGCAATAATGAGTATAATACATTCCACTATTGTCATGTATGTAAAAAATAAATGAATAAATAAATAAATAAAAGAGGAAGGAGTCCAAAAGGGACACATCTTGTGGTGGGTTATAGGATAAAAAGAATAATTTTACTTGTGCAAGTTAGAAAACTAGTTCTTAAAGGAATCCAGAAAATATTTAGGTTTTCCTCTAAATGAAACATGCTTTGGAAATAGTGGTTAAAAATGTATCTCATACTTGAGCCTTCCTTAGAGAATCATTTTAAGGTTAGAAATGATTGTTGAAAAATCAGCCCCATTTCAAATTCCATACGAAATCCTTCAAAGTGATGAATAAGAAGAAAAGGCAGGAAGTTGCATTATCCTATTAAACATATTTCATGACCCCAAGCTTTCCCAGAAGAAGCCTCTTGAAAGGTTCTTGAAAAGTTGTGGCTCCACAAAATTGTATCTTCTTTAATTGGAATTATAGATTCCTTTATAATGGTGTCGCATGTACTTATATTTAAAGACTTAAAAGAACCCTCATATTGGTCATTATGACCTCTGCCATTTTTTAATTTTTTAAAATTCTTTAAAAAAAATGTTCTGAGTAGTTATTTATGACAGTAGAATACCTTTTGACACATTGTACACAGGTCATTGTACAATTTCTCATTCCTCTGGCTGTACATGGTGCAGAGTCACTCTGGTCATGTACTCATACATGTATATAGGGTAATAATATCCATCATGTAATTATACATGTATATAGGGTAATAATATCCATCTCATTCCACCATACTTCCCCCCTCTTTTCTCCTCCTATCCCCTCTCCCCCCCTCTTATGGATCAGTATCTGGAGAATATTATACTAAGCAAAATAAGCCCAAACCCCAAAAAACAAAGGCCGAATGTTTTCTTCTCTGCCATTTTAAATAATATTTTCAGCTAGTGGTTTCTGAATTATCCTGCTTTATCAATTAATGCATGCTTTAAAAAATAAAAATGTCATATAGATTCATTGTTTATTTCTTAATAAAACATTGCTTGTGATCATTTCTCTACTAAGTTGGACATCAGTTGATTGGTCAGGAATAAACTATCCCCTTATAATTGTTTTGTGTACATTTCTTTTCACCTACCATATTTCCCCCAGGAATATAATCAGATCAGAAATTTCTGATATTATATATTTGGGGTTTTATATTTTTAGAGATACATTGACAAACTGAACTGGGCAAGAAGACCAGGAGATCAGCAAAGTGGTCTAGGACCTGAAATGATAAATGCTTACTGTGTCTCGATACATTTTCCATCATTGCCATCATTACCAGTGCTCCTCTGCCCTGCTACTCCAGCCATAGCACTTATTTTATCCAACATGGATAGCAGGCATCTCTGTTTTCTTCTGTTGTCTCAGTGGAAGACATATACTTCTACCTCATCAGTTTTTAGGCATAAATCAGAATAATTTTACAAGATGAGAAAGCTGTTTTTAATAAGTATAGAATGTAAATTGAATGTTTTGCTTTTCAGCCAAAGATGTAACTTACATCTGTCCATTTACTGGTGCTGTAAGAGGAACTCTGACTGTCACGAATTACAGGTTATATTTCAAAAGCATGGAACGGGTAAGACTTGTTGGATTTGATTTTTGTATGTATGTATGTGTGTGTGTTGTTTGCAGCCAGGTTTGTTTATTTGTGATCATTTTTAATTAAAGAATTTCTGGCTGGGTGCAGCGGCATGCCTGTAATCCCAGCGGCTTAGAAGGCTAAGACAGTAGGATCACAAGTTCAAAGCTAGCTTCAGCAAAAAGCAAGGAGCCAACCAACTCAGTGAGACACTGTCTCTAAACAGAAAAATACAAAATAGGGCTGGGATATGGCTTAGTGGTTGAGTGCTCCTGAGTTTAATTCCCAGTACAAAAAAAAAAAAATCTGAAAGAAATTTTATTCTTTCTTTTTTTTGGTACTTGGGATAGAGAACCCCAGTGCTTTGTACATGCTAGGCAAGTCCTCTACCACTGAGAAAGGTATACTTCCTATCCTCTGATTAAGATTTCTATCTTTAATTATAATTGTGCTTAGTCTTTTTTTTTTTTCCTTTTAGGACCCCCCATTTGTTTTAGATGCTTCTCTTGGTGTTATAAGTAGAGTAGAAAAAATTGGTGGTGCTTCTAGTCGAGGTGAAAATTCTTATGGACTGGAAACTGTGTGCAAGGTAAATTTCATAATGTGTGTAACTTTATTTGGATTAAAACATTGTCTACTAAATAGAACCTATAATTGGAAACTGGTTTTAAAAATGTTAAATGGAAATACTAGAAATATCTTTCTAGTAAAAGAAAACATTGACATTTACCACTGTGTATAGATATTTAATACCATTAACTGCTTCCCAGGTGGCTATTGTACTTATTATGGCCCAGTTAGCACCTTAGCACATTTCAATTTCAGATCACTTTGTTCCTTTAGTTTTTATTATTATTGTTGTTATTTTTTGCTGTTCTGTCTGTGCTCAAAGTAAAAGAAACAACATATGTATAAATCAAAATACTTTCTTGTGATAATTGTCAAAGTTTTGTGAATCTGTTATTACATTATTTAGTAATTATTTTCATTGTAGTCAGAAGGGCTCTGTGAGTGTGGTAGCTGTCAGCCATGTCTCAAGCATATTGTTTCTTGATCACTTTTCTGCAGTCTAATAGTAACGAGAACATAAAATATAAGAGGATATAAAACGAACTGACTTTAAAATCTTGGTTATTTTAAATGTTTTTTTCCTATAGAATTAAGACCATTATCCATAAACAAACATTTGTAGGGCTCCTGCTGTGATAGTTTCAGAGAACTCCTATGGTTAACAGAGTGATTCTGAGTAATTTGAATAGTTTTAAAGATATTTACTGGGGGGAAACCAAGACTCCTCAAGATCTCAGCTTCAGTTTCCACATATGGATATTTTGAAATATAGTAAATTTAGCATTCTGGTTTTGGGCAAAATTTGTAATATACATTGTTTTTTAAAAAAATATCTTTTTAGTTGTAGATGGACTCAACAACTATTTAACTTATTTATTGTGTTTGTGTGTGTGTGTGTTTAAATGTGTGCTAAGGATGGAACCCAGTGCCTCACATGTGCGGGCAAATGCTTTACCACTGAGCCACAATGATACCCTGGTTTGTGGGTGGAATATTATTTAGTGTCTCCATGTTTGGTATTATATTATGAGATATAATACAGATATTTTGAATTCTTCCTAGGTTATAGCATTTAAATCAAATGGATAGTCTTGAAGATATTCTTAATCTCTATTTTTTTCTAAGTGCTCTTGAGAATCAATAAACCAGAACATGAATATCTGAATTCAGCCTAAGCATAGAAAATTGGAGTACAAATAATGGAAAACAGTCCTGGTCTTTAGATCTGATTATAGAGCCTGGATGGTAGCAACCTAACTATTCAGAATTTTCCTGCCAGTAGGTGAAACTTGACTTACCACTGGACAGAAGATCTTTGGCAAAGTTTGGTTCTCTTAGTTTAACAGGGGACTTATCAAGAGAAGTTCAAATGATGAAAGTGAGTCCTGGGAAGAGGTAGTAAAGTAGGAAAATGATTTCCAGATATCATGGAAAGTAACAACCATTAATTAGGATCTTAATGGAAGTTCATGACAGAAAGTAGGCATTCACAGGGAAGGACATATGTTGCTAATGTGCCCTACTCATGATATTAAGCTTCAGATACATTATGTGTAATCTCCAGTCCATATGTGGATTGCTGCCTCTAACTGACCTGTGTTGAGTTCACAAGTCCATATGCATAGGGGAATTTTCTGCCCTCTGAATTCTGCCTTTTTTTAGAATGTCTTGTGTTTCTCATTTCTCCTGGTGAACCATTCTAATCTGCCTCCTTCCAGACATTACTATATATATTTGTATTTCAAATTTATAGATTTTAACATTTTACAAGATAATTCCACATAAACTTATTTATTCATTAAGTAAAAAGTGATCAAACAGTGATTAATTTGTATCTAAAATATTTTCTAGGATATTAGGAATTTACGATTTGCTCATAAACCTGAGGGGCGAACAAGAAGATCCATATTTGAGAATCTAATGAAATATGCATTTCCTGTCTCTAATAACCTGGTAAAATGTTTCTTATCTTTAGAAAATAATATTATAATTACTGATATAAATAAACTTGATTAGGCTATCTAGAATTTCTACATTTTTGTCCCTGCTTTGACATTTAACCAGATATATAGTTAAAGTTAATCTAATCTCTTGGGCCAGTTTCTTTAGATATGAAATGAGGAAGATGTACTAGTTCATTTCCAAGGTCCATTCCAGCATGAACATTCTATAATTATATGATCTTTCTATACAGAATATTTCCATGATGAAATGCTATAATTGAACTTCATTAGGATTTGAAATTTCAAATTTATAGGATTTGAAATATTTTCAGTTGAGAGCTACAGTTAAGATTAGCAATTTGGGAGGGAAGTGGGGATGAATAGTAAGTTTCTACTATGTGCTATTAGGAAGTTTTGTGACAGTGTTAGGCTCCCTCATTTATGTAATATTATTTCACTTTCATACTAGCCCTATTTATCCCTATTTTAGAGGTGAACCAGGATCAAGTATGCATTTAATTCAAGGGCATAGCTAGTAGAGAATAGACTTGGGAATCAACACTGATTCTCTGACTACATTTTTAATTTTTTTTTTTAACATTATAGTTGTTTCTATTATTATGTCTATAAAATGATAAATTGAAAGCCAAAAAATAAAAAGTTTATTCTGTGTAGTTTAGAAAATATAGCATAAATTTAACAGCTGTTTACTGTTATATGTTACTGTCCAACTAATTCTATCAAAAGGTGTGTTTTTGGAAAATGTAATATTTCAATTATTTAGACGTAAACCTGCAAAGCTACTATATATATATCTAAAGGAGATGTGATGATAAGATAGTATTTGATAAATTTTGTCAGGTGGTTCTGTGTGCTTTGTATACTTTAAAAAATATGTAAAAACCAATACTTTTAAAAATATAGAATAAAAACTAAAAGGACAATATAAAAAGGTGCCAATACACAATATTCTTGCAGATAAGTAATGAAAATTTTGAGTGTAAAGATATATTCTGATTCATTACCTTCTTAAATATCTTTTAACTCTGCTTATTATTTTGTAGCCTCTTTTTGCTTTTGAATACAAAGAAGTATTCCCAGAAAATGGGTGGAAGCTATATGATTCTCTTTTAGAGTATAGAAGGCAGGTATGTACTTCTTGTTTTAGGTTTAGTATTTTATATTTTTTTTCATTGTAAAGAAGATTTCATGGGTAGAAGTAAACAACTTTTTAGGATTTTGTTATTAAATGAAAGTTAATACTGATTGTTTGACTTCCTTTTATTTTCTTTGAATTGCTTTCCAGGATATGCCAGTGATCTTTTATTTATCTTATCTCAGGCTTATAAGTACTAGTTTATTTAAAAATATTTAATAGATATAAAGACAAAAATAAATACAGGCAAATTTTAATTATATATCATCTAGTATTATTCTCTCAGATTTTTCTTTTTGGATATCCTATAATTTAATTCTGAAAACATTTCTTAATAATTTTAGGGAGCAGTTCTTATAATTTACCTCCATATACAGTTTTGAAAATTTTATACATTTTCACAGAAGTCACGGTATACTTCCTATTTTCATGTGCTAAAAGCCACCATTGATTTACTTTGGTCAGTAACCATAATAAGATTAACCCCTCCACATTTTGACATTAATTTATCGTATTTTATATGCAGATCAAAATTTAACTGCTGTTTGGTAGCCTTCTCATATACTTATTGTCCTACTTTGATTCAGTTTGATAATATTTACTAATGCCTGCTTGCCCCTTTTTATTCTATCTACCATTTCTATGCTAAAACCACCTTCTAATTCTTCACCAATACTAGCAGCTTTTGAAGGAATAATCTCTCTTATTTCCTTGAGGGAAGACACTGCATTTGTTTTCTCATGGTGTATCCTTAGGATGTAGCAGTGCTTGGCATGTAGTAGACAATATCTCTTGAATGAATAAATGTATGAATGAAGCATAAGAGAGTATTCTGCTTATAGTTTGTGCTCTGTAAATATTTGTTAAGTAAAAAATACTTTTATTTACCACAACATGTGTGCTGTGAGTGTACACATACACAAATATATATACATATATATATGCTAGGCTTTTCTTAGGTACTTTGTATATATTAATTAATTTCATCTTCATAATTAGGTAGTTACTAATATTATCTGCATAGCATATGAGTGAACTGAGGCACAGATCATTGAGTAATTTGCCCAAAGAAACACAACTACTATGTATGGAAACCAGGATTTGAATTCAGGAAGTCTAGCTCCAGAACCATGTTCCTCACCATTATCTTTTTTTTCAATATCAAAATAACTTTTTTAAAAATTGGGTTTCTGCTGCTAAGAGACTATTACTTCTTGAAGAGAAAATTGTCCAGAGTAGTTATAATAAAGATTTCACTTCTTACAGAGAAATGTGTTTGTAGTTATCAGATAATTGGAAGAATATAATTTAAAAATTAACTCTAATTGTAACTGAGGAGGATGTTTTCATTTAGGTATGACTCAAGGAACATTTGTAGTTTATTTCCTTTATTGATACAGACACACATTATACTATATTTAATGACTTAATTAACATTAACATTTTGCTACAAAAAACACAGATCCCTACATTAGAATGTCTCATCCTAAAAGCATGGTCACCATAGGCACATTGCTCTTCTAGTAGTTTCAGAGATGGATAGTGGAAGTATGAGAGTTTGAAAATGATGGCTACTTCTGGGCTTTTCAATTAATAATTCGTGTTATATTTTATTTCATGTGTAGGGAATTCCAAATGAAAGCTGGAGAATAACTAAGATAAATGAACGATATGAACTTTGTGATACATACCCTGCCTTGTTGGTTGTACCATCAAATATTCCTGATGAAGAATTAAAGAGAGTGGCATCCTTTAGGTCAAGGGGCCGCATCCCAGTAAGTATGATGCTTTGATGACACTGCAAAAGTTTTAATATTCTACCTCATGCTGAGATTGATGAATTGGGGAATTGGGTGCAGAATAAAAATAGCTAATGGCTAAAAGTACTTAATAGGGATACTGGAGATGGAGTTATTTAATAAAATGAAATCTGTTAATTTAAATTTTAAATAATAAAACTGCAAAATGAAAACAGAATTTCGTGGTTCTTAACTTGAAAATGTTTGCTCTGGTATCACTCACTGTTTCTTTGTTATATATTCTTTAGTCACAATGATAAATGTTCTTTTCCATTAATACCAAGAAAGAAAACTTTACAAGTTTACAATGAATAACTGGGTCTAGAAAGATCATCTCAAATTATTTTAGGTTCAGAATTTTCATAGATTCTGAAGACTTCAGAGTTGGGCAGATTTACTGATTAAAAAAAAACAAAACTTTAAAAGCAGGCTTTACTTAGTCCTGTTTTAATGTATTTTCTTATAAAACTGCACTTCCCAATAAACCGTGACTTACATAAATCAGTATGTGATTAAGAATTAGACCAACTTTTGCACATGCCAGAGTTGGCTTGAAAGATAATAATTTTTCTGGATACTGTGAGCTGTCCTTTTATGGCGAGGCTTTGGATTCAGTTGGAAAGCAGAGCTTCAGAGAGGACTGTTTTTAAAGAAACATTAAAAACAGAAGCATATAAAGGGTGTGTTCCCATTTTCACCTTTAAGGTTTTATCTTGGATTCATCCTGAAAGTCAAGCCACAATCACTCGATGTAGCCAGCCCATGGTAGGAGTGAGTGGGAAGCGAAACAAAGATGATGAAAAATACCTTCAAGCCATCATGGATTCCAATGCCCAGTCTCACAAAATCTTTATATTTGATGCCCGACCAAGTGTTAATGCTGTTGCCAATAAGGTGAGATTGTCTTTCAGTAATTAAGAATGTAATTGTGCGTTTCTTAAATCAGATGAATTTGACAGGAGCCCATGTAGTAAAAAGTAAAAAAACCTCCAGGCTTTTCAGTGGTAAATAGGGAGTTTCTAATTTTGGCTCTTCTATTTGATGATGTGATTTTTAGTCGTTATTTAATCTTTTTAAGATTGCAGTTTATATGCATTATAGAAGAATTGGTTAATACAGATAAGCAAAAAGAAGAAAATAGTTTTGAACACCGCCAATTCTGTAACTGAGAAACACCACTAAACTTTGCTTATACTTTCAGACCAGTAGTATACATATGCATGTATATTTGAAACAAATTGGAATTTTAGTTCCTTTTCTTAAAAATTAACACAGTATATTTCTAGGTAGTAGAAATTAATCTATAATATCATTTTAAGCCACAATAACCAATTATACCAAACCATTGTTGGCTATTTAAGCTTTTTGCTTGCTTTTTTGCTATTAGGAACAGTGATTGGACAATCAACCCTTTAATTAAATTGTGAAAGATGTTCTTATTTCCATTCTGTTTTGCTTTTTGAGAGCATTGTGAGATCTAGCTATTCTTTATTAAACTGTAAATATATTCCTTAAAGGAAACAAGGAAGAGCATGGCCTCCTAAATCATAAATTCTTCAGTTATAGGGCATAAAAATAAAATGAGATAATGTGTAAATGAAACCCTTAGTGCAAGAACTGGTATATATTCTTAGAGTAATTGCTAGTCCTTCCTAAGCTTTATGCCATGGATAAACAGGAATGAGACTTAGGATCCTTCTCTAGGATCAGAGGAGAATAAAGAACAGAAAAGTTGGCAGGGTGAAATGTTAAATTCTTTAATATTATCAAAAAGCATCCCTATGCATAGTTCACTGTGCACAGATCCCTGTTTCAATTGATGAAAGTATAAACCCTTATTTACTAAGGTTACAACACATTTTTATTCGTAGTAGCTTAATGAATTACTATGTGACAATTTTGTGTAGCCATGACCCATGTCAAGAATTAAAACTTTTTCAGCCTCATTAAGGCTTACATGAATGCTTTGCTCCAATTTCACCTTCTACTCCTGACAAAAGTAATGACTCTAATTTTTAAATAATTCTTTTCATGCATTTCTTTATATTTTTATCCCAAAGTATGCATCCATAGGCTTTGTTTTTTAGTCTTACCTTTTAAAATATTACTCAATAAGTTTCTTAATCTGTAGTCCTCCCTTTACCCATGTATTGCTTATATTTTATCTGTAGATTTCTCACAGCCCACACTTGGCTGGTTGCATCATAATGTGTCCATCATTCTTCTGGTCCCCTGAATTTCTGTCAAATGAATCCAGAGGTTTTCAGATTTAGATTCAGTCCCTTTAGCAGGACTATAGGTGGTACACCATGAGGCACATGGGGTATTAGTGGCTATTGATGCTCAGTGCCTAGATACATTAAAACACTGATGGTTACAAAATGGTGGTGTTCTATTATTAAAGTATCGCTGTGAACTCATGTATTTATAGTTAGCATTTTCTAATCTTTTACAAATATACTGTTTTTTAAAGAGAGAGAGAGAATTTTAATATTTATTTTTTAAATTTTCGGCGGACACAACATCTTTGTTCGTATGTGGTGCTGAGGATCGAACCCGGGCCACACGCATGCCAGGCGAGCGCGCTACCACTTGAGCCACATCCCCAGCCCCAACAAATATACTTTTTTTTTTTTTAGTCATACATGACAGCAGAATGTATTTTGACATATAATACATACATGGAATGTACATACATCAATCCTATTGTCTATTCTATTTTGCTGCCCTTCCTATCCTCCCTACTCCTCCATATATACTTTTTTGAAGTAAAAAATTTTCTCATCTTTGGTCAGAGGCAGGCTTTTCAGCTTATCTTCGGAGTTAGTAATTACTATGGTTTGGAGAAGTGTCCGTCCCTCTAAGGCCCATGTGTTCAGCCTTGGTCTCTAACCCAAAGCCCTTTTGGGAGGTGCTGAGGGCCTAAGTTGCTGGGCTAACTTTAAGAAGTGGGGAGCCTACTGGCAGGTTTTCACGCAGTTGGGGGCATGTCCTTAAAGGGAATGTGTAACTGTGGCATCTTCCTCTTTCACTTGCCTGCCATGAAGTAAATGGTTTTGCTTCTCCATGTGTTCCTGCCATGATGTGTTGCCTAAGCACAAGCCTAAAAGAAGTGGAGTCAACTGATTATGAAGTCAAACCTCTAAAATTGTGAGCCAAAGTAGACTTTTTCTCTTTATAATTTAATTATCTCAAATATTTGTTATACTAACAAAAAGCTAACTGACACAAGAAGCTGTCTGGTATAATAGAATATACCAAATTCATCAGGAAATCTTGTATATGTTCTGCCCCAGATGGGAAGAATCATTTCTTCAAGAAGTACTGGTTTCTGTTGGTAGGAAATGGTATTTCAAATCATGATCTGTTGCTAAGGATGCTCACTTATTAATTGGCTTGGTTCTGTTTCTAGGTCTTTTCAGTGGACAAGAAAATTATATCTGTATTGTCACAATATATAGCCTTTACATATTTTCACTTTTATACATAGACCTTTCCCTTCTATGTTTTGTTTCTGTAATTAGCTGTATACATTCATCTTTCTGTTTCTAATGATTTTACATCCACAGATTTGAAACTGTTTATTTTGTTTTGGCTTTTGGTACTGGGGATTGAACTCACAGGTGCTTTACCACTGAGCCACATCCCCAGCCTTTTTTATTTTTTATTTTGAGACTGGGTCTTACTAACTTGCTGAGGGTCTAAGTTGCTGGGGCTGGCTTTAAACTTTTGATCCCCCTGTTTCAGCCTCATGAGCTGCTGGGATTAAAGTAGTGTGCCACCGTGCCCAGCTGAAAATATTTTTTTAAAAGTTGCATGTATATCAAATAAGTATACTTTTTTCTTGTCATTATTTCCTAAATAGTATAGTATAACAACTATTTGCTTAGAATTTACATTAGGTACTAATATTTAATTAGATACTAAGTCATCTGAACAGGAGATGTGCACAGGTCATCTGCAAATACCATGTCATTTTATGTGAGACACTTGAGCATCCATGGATTTGAGGGATCCTGGAGTCAGTTCTCTACGGATATTGAGGGATAAGGATATTAAAACCAATGTAGCCACTTTTTTCTATTTATGTCTTTCTAGTCCCTCCCATTTTGGGGGGTATTCTGAAGTTTGTTCTCTAGTATTTCAGCAAGGGTGCAGGGGAACAACATTCTCTAAGCTGCTTGCTGATAGAATTTTTTTTTTTTAATAATGGAAAATCACTTTTACTATATATATAGTCCACGGCTCACAGTTGATTTTCCTGAGTACCTGAAATACATTATTCCATTTTCTTTTGGCATAATGTTTTAACAAGTTTGAAAAAATTCTCTAAGTCACTGATTTTGTGTGAATATCCAAAGGATTTTTTTTTTTCCTGCACCACATCCTCCACCCTATCCCGGATTATGTGTTAATGTTAGGTGTTTTGCGTCTGTATTCTCAGGTATACTTGTCTGCTATTTTGTTTTGTAATTTTCAATATTTAAAAATTGACATTTTAATTATAATTCTTAATATTTATTTGGTTTTCTTGACATGGCTCTTTTTTTCAGGTATTCCTTTTAAATTTGTGTTTACTCTTTACTTACTTCATCATTTGCTACTTTCTCTTTAATTCTTTCTGTTTTTCTGATGTTTTGGGGGGTTTTAAGACTTCCTTTTCACTCATTTGTTTCAGCGGAGCTTGTATTCCTTTTAGTCTTTATTTCTGAAGTGATATTTTATTTGTCATTTGTTCCTAAATTTCTGTAATTTATTTGAGGTTTTTCAATCCTATGTTGTTTTCATGCCTGGTATTATTTTTAAAATGTCTTTAGCTTACATGAAGATAGATGGTTTAGTTTTATGTGGTATTGTCTGTAGGGATATTATGAATGCTGCTCAGTCTTTATATTTTTATTTTATTTTATTTTTAGAGAGAGCGAGGGTGGGGGAGAGAGAAAATTTTTAATATTTTTTAGTTTTCGGCGGACACATCTTTGTTTGTATATGGTGCTCAGGATCGAACCCAGGCCGCATGCATGCGAGGCGAGCGCGCTACTGCTTGAGCCACATCCCCAGCCCTCTTTATATTTTTAGATATCTTATATATCAGTCATCTTCCTGCTATTCATTTTAAGGTGAAACTAGTTATCCTGAACTTTCAGAAGGGAAGTTAGATGATGATGGCATACAAAAGTGAGGCATGCCCTGAAGTCTAAAGTGCTCATTTCACTGAGCATCCTTTTGTTTTTATGCAGCATTAAAAAAATGTGAAATCTTACATCCTAGTATCTTGACTCCAATTTGTCTTTCCTACTCTTCACCCACACCTCTGCCCCTCCTAATCCTAACTGTCCCCCTGCCCACTTTTATCCAGATTTCTTTTCATTGCCTGTGTCCTGCTCAATTTTCATTATGCTTTGAGCTGAAGGGATACATGGCCAGTCAGATCCAAGAGTGTATAAGGGCTAGATAGAGCTGGCCCTTAAATTTACCTCTATTGTTGTGTTTATCAGCTGTTAAATGAACAGACTCCTCTCAATTTCAGATGCACTTGGGAAATTAACCTATTGTGCTTACCTGTAGTTCTAAAAGAAAACCAAAGCAAAGAAACAAAACAAATACTCTTAGGTTTTTCTTATCTTCCATGTGTCCACTGCTTTCTTTTGTTTACTCCTGTGTACTGATAAGCAGCTTGACCTTGTGGCTGTCCTTCCTTTGTTCTACCTGTTGGCATTTTGGAGTTTGAATGGGATACACTGTCACGGTTATCTTTAAAATTTTTTTTTAAATTTTATTATGTAGTTATTCTTTTTTTTTTTTAACAGTTGTATGGAGAGAGTGCACTGTGCACTATTTTTAAGTATACTCTTTAGTGTATTGACAGTTATATAACCAAAACAAATCTGATTCCAGAACATTTTTATTCTGTATTTTTGTTGTAGATTCTTTGTAGTTGCCACCACTGTCATCTTTCTAAAAATTGCTTCAAAAAATTTGATTTGAAGTCTCTCCACCTTCATCCTGTCTTATCCCCATTCTTCAGAAATAATCCTTGTTACCAGGTAGCCACTGAAACACTGCTAATTTTGTAATTGTGCTAATCATGAATCCAAACTGTTTCCTAGACTGTTAGTGTCAAGAAATCTGAACTTCTATTCTTTTGGTAATATGTCGGTTAGGAATTGGTGAGTTTTGTTGTTTTCAGAGGTATGAATTATGAAGTTTTAAGTCATGATCACTTAATTTTATATAACTACAGTGGCTTCTCTAGTACTTTTGTTTCTTATGGGGCTCTCAGCAGTGAAATTTTATACATGTTAGGTGGAAGATAGGATCATGTTTTAGTCATAATTATTTGGTTCAGAAAAAATTAGGTTCTCCTTTCCAGTTATAGCTTATTTTGAAAAACACCAAATATTTTCTCATTCTGTTTTGTAGATGTGAATCCTATACCTTTATACTTATTTAAAAATAAGCTGTTATAATTTATCCTGCAGATATTAAGATTAAAATGATGTGAAGAGGCAGGGAGGTAAAGTAGCATGGTTGAACCACACATGGGGTTGCTGCACATGGAACTTAAGTTTGGTGATTTTAGTAGGTATGAAGGAGAGTCTTCTGTAAGTAATTGTTAGGATAGAAGTTGAAATATGGGTAGGAAAAAGTGTTTTTAAACATTCAAATACCTAAGTTTAGCATTTAATATTTATAACTGCCACTTAAGGAATGGTAAGTACATATTTTTGTTTTACAAAGAACATGAGGTATAGCATGGTTGTGCTAAGTTGCATCCAATCATTTACATTCTCCCATGGGGTTTTCCTGGGCACCAGTAATGTGCATCTTCTTTTATGTTTTGAGGTATTTCATGGATATCCACAGATAATGGATATATTCATTTATGATATACTGTGATGTGTGCCTCTTTCCAGGCAAAAGGTGGAGGTTATGAAAGTGAAGATGCTTATCAAAATGCAGAACTAGTTTTTCTGGATATCCATAATATTCATGTCATGAGAGAATCATTACGAAAACTTAAAGAGATTGTGTACCCCAACATTGAGGAAACTCACTGGCTGTCTAACTTGGAATCTACTCACTGGCTAGAACATATTAAGGTGTGTGATGTGTTACTATTTCTCAAACAAGGACTTTCTCTAACCTTTTGTCTGTATTAGCTTTTATAATTGAAATCAGCATAAAAATCTTTCTGAACAGTGAGGAGTTGATAACTGCTTTGATACTTTTAAATTTGATGTTTGTTGAATGAATTACATTTCCTGCCTTGTGCTTTGGGTTTTGTTGTACTTCTTTATTTCCCTCTTTCTGATTCTATCTGAATTCTATTCATCCTTCTGATCCAGTTCATTTATCATTTCTTCCATGAAATCTTTGCAGATTATATCCATTTCCATTTTCTCTGAACTCCACATTTCCCTTTTCCTTTCCATTTAATTAGGTAATACTCTATTGCTTTTGTTAGGTCAAACAATAGGTGACCTAGACTGAATAAATCATATTTCCTTTTTGTCCCCTGAGGAACTTGGATAGCAAGGAATAGGAGGTACCTAGTAAATACTTGTTGTATGATGTGAGGTTAAAATCATCCTGCTCAGAGGAATAAGGTATAGTAGTTGAATGAAGGATACTATTTGGACGTTAAATCCCCTGGAGAGTATCATGTGAATACTAATTTACCCAACATGCCAATTTAATGTTTGCAGCACCAAACTATTTTAGTTAACATAATTATATATATTTTCAGGTATGGTGTGAATCTCAGTAACATCAGGGCCTTTCATTACCAGATACAACATTCTCTCGAAAAGGTTGGCTGTAACAGAAACAAGTTTCCCTAAGGATTAAAGACATAACAGTCTGATTGGACTTTCTCCTCTGCCAGTCCTCACACAGGCAAGGCTTACCTACCATTCACTTTCTTCAGATCTCAAATATCACCTTCTCAGAGAGGCCTTTCCCAAATACTTCATGCAAAATAACAGATCTACTAGTACTCTTTATATCCCCTTCAGAGATTTTTCAGTTATGGATATCTGTCTTTTCTGTGCCTGTCCGGACTCCCCCAAGTAGAATTTCAGTTTCTAATATTAAACAGGTTCTTTGTTTTTTTCACTGCTTTATTTCCCACCTAGAGCAGTGCCTGCCACATAGTTAGGGACTCCATAATTGTTTATGAATAAATGAATGAGCTACTATTCTGGATAGTCCTTCCTGATGAGTCTTAACTAAGGATTTGGGTTAATGATTCTTATGTGTACATATACATTTGAATTACAGGTGACTTATTTAAAACAGTGAATTAGAGCTATTGGAAAATGGGGCCATATACTTACACGTGTTTTTTAAATGGTCATAAATGACTCTGATTAGTCAGGACTGAGATTGCTTTAGAGTGCCCCATTTCCAGAATATGCCTAATAATTATGATGAAAGTGATCTCATGGCATTTCCCAAGTTTAGTAAATCTGTTTTCTTTATTCTGATCTCTGTGATGCCAGATTTTTCTCTAATTATGATATTATACAGTCACTGCAGAGAATGCTGTATTATCCACTTTTAAGGATAGTTTTTGTGGCTTTCTTGGCTACATCTGATTGTTTGATTTTTCACCCAAGACTTTTCCAAGTAAATAACTTTATTTTGCAGAGAGTTTCTGCATATGTATCAAAGTAAGGGCCGAAATTAGATACCAGGTAAATTAACATTAATCTGATGAGAATTTTCATGCTTACTAAAGAAAAGTAGCTTACTCTAAAGTTTATAAGTACTAATTTTGTGTTATGTGATATATAAATCTTCGTAGTCTAAGTAACAAATTCTATAGAATATTAGAAAAGATCCAGTTTTATTCCTGTTAGGTATGTGGTTAAGTAAGCATTGGTTTAAAAAGAAAGATAAGATTTTCTAGTTTTAAAATCAAATTTATGCATATTTTACCATGTACAAAAATTCTGTTTAGAATTTTCTTTTCTCCCCATGTTGATATGTGCAAGAAAACTACATTATTAGTAAAAATTTTTAGAAGTATTTTACTTTTTAAAAATTTCATGTAGAAAATATATTTTCCAGCTTATTCTTGCAGGGGCTCTTCGGATTGCTGACAAGGTAGAGTCAGGGAAGACATCTGTGGTGGTACACTGCAGTGATGGTTGGGATCGCACAGCTCAGCTAACTTCCCTAGCCATGCTTATGTTGGATGGATACTATCGCACAATACGAGGATTTGAAGTCCTTGTGGAGAAAGAGTGGCTAAGCTTTGGACATAGATTTCAACTAGTGAGTAATGAACCTTGACTCATGATGCATCTCATGTAAGGCCTGTTAAAATAATAGTCCCAGACAGATCATTTATCCAGTGGGGCAGACTCCTCATATGCTTTGTATTAGAACAGTATTAGGATATCTTAAGTGTGACTACAACATGGAGCCAGGGCTGTTAGTCAGATGTCTGGCCCAGTGAGTCTTCTCTGATTTCTATCTGGAAATATCAGATACTATTGAGTCATGTCCATGGGTGATTCCCCTCCAAAATTTGTGAATGGTAATAAAATTACAAAGCACTTCTAGCTTTTTCTAGACTTATCAAAAGACAATTGTTATTCTTAAAGTACTTAGAAGTAAAGGAGAAAAAAAAAATTAAAGTTGGGAATAAAACACAGCTTTTTTATTATCTTTATGAGGTTCTAAAGCTATAATGATCATATATATGAAAATCACAGATACTTTTACGGAAATAACAAGATTTTGAGCCCTCTGTGTTATTCAAATTTTATTTTTAGGTTGCTAAATTTCAGAATTGGAAGTACCTTAGGGTCCATGCATTCCCAATTGGACTAAATAGCCCTATGAAACCAAAGTATGGTGCTATAAAAAAGCAAAGATCTGATTATCAAATGACATGGTTAATGTAGGCTAACAATTATTCTCAAAACCTTCTGATTTAGTTAATACCATCACTGATTTTATCAGGAAAGTCTTTAAGCTCAGTGTGGTAGATAACAGTTTTCTAAAAACTTAAAGACAGTAATTATTACTATTGCAGTTTGGCACTATTGCCTTGATTGATTCCTGTTAAGGCACTTAAGTTTTATCCTTTATTGCTTTTGCACCATTAGTACAAATGCCAACATATTGGAGAAAGTAAATAAAAATACCTTTCTTATTGTGAAAAGTTTTGGCCTCAAGGCCCCCATAAATTTATAGGCAACACTTTTAGAATTAATCCCTGCTTTGGAATATGGAGCAGGGTTCTGTTTGAATCATCTGTATAAAAGGGCCTCAAAGGAGGAAATAACTGAGAAACCATATAGATGAATGCAGGTGGATGGCAGGTACTGTTGAAAGGTTTGAAAAGATTTGTGCTAATGTAGTTCCTCCTGATGAGATATATACTCTTTATTTACTGGCCAAGGTATTTTTAATAGGGGTACTTTCTGAAACCAATGTACAAAGTAACTGTTCTTTATTAGAGGAAAGTAAATCTCCCAAATGAAAATCTAGCCTTGGAGGTCTGACTACTCATATTCCATTATCAATCTTTTAGGATCTAGGTTTCATTTATTAAACAAGGTGGTAATCCCTATCATAGCATTTCATGTCAGAAAAAAAATCTGGAAGTTCATATCAAAATGTTAATAAAAATATCTGCTTGGTTGGAATTAAGGTGATTTCTATTTCCTTTGCAATGTGTTCTTTAAAAAATGTTTCTGAAGTTTAAAATATTGACCAAATATTACTTTTGTTGGAAAATAATTTCCATTAAAAATTCCTACATTTAACATTTCACTTTCTTTGCTTCAGAGAGTTGGCCATGGAGATAAGAACCATGCAGATGCAGAAAGATCACCTGTTTTCCTTCAGTTTATTGACTGTGTGTGGCAAATGACAAGACAGGTAGCTTCTCTGGGGTATCCATTCTTACATATCTCCTTTAAGCTCAGAGTCAGAGTTGGGAAATTTAGTCATCATTATCTTACAGTTCACATGAAAGAGAAATTCTTATAACCTTTCCAAGTGATAACGCTGTTATTTATTGACACATAAATGTCTTTGTTTGGGAGTAATATTAAACACTTTACAATTTTGATTCTATTGGCTATTCAGAGAGTGGCATTAATAATTTGAGAAGTTTCCTCCTTTGCTATGAACAAAAGTGTTAAAAATAGTAGTGTGCTCACACAGAGGCTTTTCTATACATTACTAAGGAAGGTGAATAAATATGCTAGGTAGCCCAAGCAAAATAAAATCCTATTTTAGTAATTTTAAGGAAAAAAATATGTTCAGATAGAAATTATTACAAGGTAGGTGACAGATATACCTCCTTTAAGTATGAAGAGTATAGTTACATAAATATTTTAAACCTTCTAAAAGCTTTGTAAAAAATATTTAATTGAAATATTAATGTACATACACTTAATGTTTTCGGAAACATATGAGAATAGTCTGAAAAAGGGTCAGTGCCGTAAAAATATGATTTAATTGTAACTCATAAAAGTCATTCCCAAACCCAAAAGTTGAATGCAGCTCATCAGTATGCTATTTATCTGGCAATTTGTTAGGCCTCAAACTTTGTTTTATTTAAGACTGCTACGTGAATATAAAGTAGGGCACCCATTGGCCCTGCTTTGGAATAAACATTTTAGCTTCAATAAAATATTAAAATAGATGACTTGTCAATTGTATATTTAATAGTTTTTTTTTAAATAGTTTTTATATTTTATAGTTTTTTTTCCTTAGCATTTCAGCTTGGGTGGATTATTTTGAAACCTTCTATGATAAATGAAGCATTGTCATAGATGTCAAAATTACGTGAGGGTAGGATTTTAACACAGAAAATGTGTGCAACAATTCAGTTTTGTTTCCTAAGTTATGAGCTTTGTGTCTTGAAGGTGGCTGTTTTCTTCCTAAACAATCATTAAAAGTTTATAAATAATTGAATACTACTGCAGACTTAAATAGCATATTTGTTAAAGTAGGACAATTATGTTGTAATTAGGCCACATTCTATACCTTTCCTGCCTATTACCCCTCCTGGTTGGGGTCAGAAAGCTCTTGTTGGAAGTTCCTTTATGTTTTACGCATGTTTAAAAAAAAATGGGGAAATTATTGCCCAGCTATTTTAGTTTCCTTGTGATGAAATGCCCACTGAATAAGCTATCTTCTCATAACTTAGCTAATACTTTTGTCAAAAGATTGAAAAACTAATCACAGGCTTAGCTTCATGGGCTTATTTAGTGAGCCAGGATGTATTCATTTTTGCCTAGTAAATAAGGCCATTAAATTTTTTTAATAAACACAGATGGGATTTATTAAGGGAAAAAATGGGATATACTTATAGTCAGCTAGTTTTTTGTTAATGGCATATGCTTGATCTTCTGGTTCTTTAGTTTCCCAGCCACAAAAATTACTCAGGGACTAGGAATTGTCCTTAGTTGTAGAAATCTGCCATGTTAACTTACCATTTTACATTCTGTAATCATTCATTTGATTAATTTCCTAAAATTAGAATATCCATTGACAGGGGCTGGAGTTGTAGCTCAGTGGTAGAGTGCTTGCCTAGCATGCATGAGGCACTGGGTTTGATCCGAGAGAAAGATGCTACCTAAGTACAGGGTATGAGGGGCGTTGATTCACCAGGATGTTCTTTGAAAAAAGATAAAAGTATTGTTGCCTTATAAATTATGTACATATATGTGAAGGATAGTTTTGTCTAGTATTGATTTTTCTGGACAAAATATTGATAGTTTAATTCCTGAAAACAAAATTACGTTTTTGAAAATTTATAGAAAAACCTTATTATGGGAAGGGAAATTGCCCAAGTCAAAATTCAGCTTCCAGTAAGCATAGGGTTGAGAGAGTATACAGAAAAGCACACCATTCTAACTTTTGCATAAGAAAAAGAAGTCTCCAGAGAAATTACCTGAGAAAAGTGACAAAGGAGTTTCGAATAGAAAAGCAAGCTAATAATGGCATAACGGCTTAGATATATAGTTTCAAATGTCGTTAGACTTAATTTTTAAAAAGTACTACAAAGAATCTACTCATGAGGATGAATATGCCTAAAAAGTCTTAATCTTATGCATATGTGATGTTCAATTTACAGTTTCCTACTGCATTTGAATTCAATGAATATTTTCTCATTACCATTTTGGACCACCTATACAGCTGCTTGTTTGGAACATTCCTTTGTAACAGTGAACAGCAGAGAGGAAAAGAGGTAAAATATGAGCTGTGGCCCACCCCTTCCTTGCATTATCCCTACAAAAATGATGGATAGCAATCAAGCAGGGTTTTTTCTTTTTTTTTTTTTAAATATTACCTTTTGGTCATATTTTATCTTGTAAGCAATAATGTAATTACTTTCTCCCACATATGTAGCACTGGTCTATTTTGAAATACCCATCACAAGGCTGATGGTGCTAGCTATCAGCTGAGGGTGGAAAGTAGTGTCTGCTAAAGAGAACTGAAGTATATGGGACTCTGAGGAGCATGAGTGTTCCCATTATTCCACATAGGATGGAAATCTTTCAAAGCAGGTGTAGAAAAATATAAATCAGCAGAAAGCACACCTTTGAATGGGTAGCTCAAATCCCAAAATATATTCTGTGTATAAATTACATTTTAAAATTACTATAAAGTAACACTGTAGTAACTATGATGAAGATTTTAAATACTATTAAGATAACGCTGTATAAAATTTTTCCCCAGTATTCCTCTTACCCAGAGAGATCACTGTTAAGTAGTAAATTGGATGTTTTCTTGTTTTTCAGAATACATCTTTTTGTGTGAACATTTTAACCATCTTGATCAGTGCCCCTCTCTACATAAACTTTTTTTTCTTATATTGTTGATGGACCCTTTATTTTTTTAATATGTGGTGCTGAGAATCGAACCCAGTGCCTTACGCATGTAAGGCAAGTGCTCTACAACTGAGCCATGACCCCAGCCCTACATAAACTTTCATTCGAAAAAAATTTATAGAGTAGCTTCTTATTCTTTAGAAAGTATACCAGGGAAGATAGCTTTTAAAGCCCAGTTACTTGGTTGAGATCTTTGGATCTGTCACTTATGAATAACCTTGGGCAACTTAATCTCTGCTTTTGTAAAATAGGGTTGTATACTTATACCACAAAGAATGATATGAATTTAAGTGTGTCTTTGTTAAAGGACCATTTGCATACCATAGAATCCCACTTAAAAAAAAAGCATATAGCAATGGTTGTATAATACCATCATTTATTTCAGGATGTTTTCATCATCCCAAGTTAAGTCACATACCTGGTAGTAGTCAATCCCCTTTCTCCCACTTCTGGCAAATACTAACCTATTTTCTCCCTCTGATTTCTCTCTTCTGGACTTCTTTTTGATGCTGGGGTTAAGTTTTTTATTTTTTGAGGCAGGGTCTTGCATGTGTGACCCTCCTGCCTTAGCTTCTTCAGTCACTGGGTTTATAGGCAATGTGCTTCCATACCTGGCTGTACATTTTTTTTTTTAAAAAAAATGGAATCACTATGTGATCTTCTCAGTGTTAAATGTTTTCAGAGTGTAATTTCTTATTACCATATTTCATTGTGCATACTATATATACTCATGAGTTGATAGGATTTTGGGGTTGTTTTTATCTTTTGGCTATTATGAATACTATTGCTTTGAACATGTGGGACAAAGTTTTTGTATGGACAAGTGCAATTCTTTGAGGAACTGCAGACTGTTTTCCAGCACACATAGTATAATAGACCCACTTACATTAAAATCAAAGTGTTTAAGTCCACCCCCCTCCTTTTGCAATCATTAAAAAGGTTTTCCAAACCAAATACATGGGGGCATTGGAAATGGCAGTGAAGGATGTCACCGAGTAAATCTCCATTGAGAAAAAAGGTTTTTTAATGACTACAAAATATATCTTTACAAATTTCATCCAAAGCATAAATAGCTTATGTGAATGTTTACCTATTTTTCCTGATAGAATCTTCCTAAGAGGACTGTGTCACTGTGGTCTTACATAAATAGCCAGCTGGAAGACTTCACTAATCCTCTCTATGGGAGTTATTGCAATCATGTCCTTTATCCAGTAGCCAGCATGCGCCACCTAGAGCTCTGGGTGGGATATTACATAAGATGGAATCCACGGATGAAACCACAGGTATGATAAAAATGATGGGAGTTTTCATCTGAACAATGTAATTCTATTAGATGTGTCCCCTTTAATTCTATATTTCTAGTTGAAATATTATCTGTGCATACTTATAACTTTCAACTATATCCATTGATAGTTATAAATGTGTATTGGAAAGAGTCCCACACTGGATAGTCAGTATACCTGTTTCTCATTTTGACTTTGGACAAATCAGTTCTCTTTGCCTAAGAAAATTCTGTTTCATAGTGAATATATTATTGAATGTTTACTATTAGGACTGAAAACCTACAATTAAATGATAGGAATCTTTTGACTACTAGGTTCTAATTGTCATAATTATGTATTATAATTGTTATATTTGTAGATGTACCGGTTCTAGGAGCATCTCCACAGCAGGTATTGTCTGGAAATACTTGAGGTCATTGGAAATGGCAGTGAAAGATTCAGTAATCACAGTAGTGTCCCTGAATTTAATCTCCACTGATGGATAGAAAAGGTGGGACTGGTTTGGACTGGTTCCAGTTGCTAAAAACAACAAAAACAAAAAACAGTGTTAACACTGATGTGACCCTGGGTTTGACTAGGATTGCCTAGTTGAATAATTTTATGTTTTGCTCTTGTAGGAACCTATTCACAATAGATACAAAGAACTTCTTGCTAAACGAGCAGAGCTTCAGAAAAAAGTAGAGGAACTACAGAGAGAAATTTCGAACCGATCAACCTCATCCTCAGAGAGAGCCAGCTCTCCTGCACAATGTGTCACTCCTGTCCAGACTGTTGTGTGAAAGGATTGTGACTAAGGACATCATTGATATGAACTCTTCATTACAGTGGCAGCTTTATGAGTAGAAAGTCTCCCTATTTTGAACCCATCTCTGAGAGAAAAGTTCAGATGCTTTATTTATTTTAAGTCTCTCTAAGATGAGTTTAGAACTATAGCAATGTGGGTGGCTTAAGAGAAACAATTCCACGTGTAATTACATGATTATGACACTAAACCTGTTCAGACATCTGGTAAAAGTACAAACTACTTCAGAAATACACCTCTTGATTGGAGAAAGCTCACTGCACAGAGGAACAAGTTTTCAAACCAAATCAACACTGAAGTTCTGTGGCATCATCTATATTAGGCCTTTATGTATGACAGATCAAAATCATTTAATACCTTTTTCTCCATCATGGGCTTTTCTTCATGTAGTAATTGATTTACATTGATCACTGTTCAACCTCCATTCTTAATATAGTGAAAGGCAAAGCATAGTGTGGCAGTAGTTAAAAATTGCTGCTGACATTATTTACATACTTAATTAGGGCATTCTACTGTTCCAGAATGATGCCTTAGAGATATGCTTAGGGGACCATAAGGAGACAAAGTGGTAGCCATTTTGGAGTTCAAAGATTTCTAAGACATTCAGATTAATTTCCATTTTTTTTCCAATTTTTTAAAAAAATTTTACCCCTTTCTGTTTTGCTTAATGCTAATTGGCAAGTTGTAAATTTTTAAAAGACTTTTTTGGAAGACTGTATAAATAGCATATGGTGAGAAGTATAATGCTTAAATTTTACATGAAATACTTCACTACTTTATTCCACCAAATTAAGCCTACCAAAGAACACACCGCATTTAAAAATGAATTACAATCTCAATACCAGTAAAAGAAATCTTGCTTCACTGCTTGCCTGAGACTTTGGTGCTGGTATGGACATTTCACTGTCTGATGTCTAATATTTTACTCTATATGAGAGCCATATGTAATGTACTGTAACTAAGAAGCTTCTTGTCCCTTGGTCTTTTAATTAAAAGAAATTTCAGCTAATTTTAAAACTTTGTTTTTGTCTAAAGTTATATTAAGGGTGTGTGTGTGTGTGCACACATGTGCGTGTGCGCACACGCAGAACTATTTCTTGGAATTTTTTTTTCTGAGGAGTGCCTGGTGCAGGTGGAAATATTCAATTTTTTGACTCCTTGACTCCCAAATGAAACAAAAACTATTTTTTTCTGCTCATAAATTCACAGGTCTGAGTCTTATCCTTATTGTTGGTCTTAGAGTTGAAGAAATAGGGGGCTGGGATTATGGCTCAGCAGTAGAGTGCTCGCCTGGCAGGATCCTCAGCACCACATAAAAATAAACAAAAATGAAAAAATAGTTATCAGTACATTCAATATTACCAAAATCGGGATCCACTGATTTTATCATATGAAATTTGTTACGAGAAAAATTTAACAGGTGTTTAAATGGCCAGTCAGTATTAAAGCTAATATGTCTAATAATAGAATATTATAGTAATAAAGCTAAATTTGGTATTCCAAATTTGATAAATCTATTCTCTTACTTCCCTCACTTAAGCTTTTTCATCTTGGTCTGATAAAACATAAAAGAAAGCTGAAGAGATTAAGAATTTAAAGCTTCTAGTCTTAATGTACTCATACCCACTAAATACCACTAAAAAACCAAGAGAAATCTAAGTATAAAAAATTCTGTTTGCTAGGCATGGGGGTGCACACTTGTAATCCCAGCAGCCTGGGAGACTAGGCACGTAGATCCAGAGTTCAAAGCAGCCTCAGCAAAAGCAAGGCACTAAGCAACTCAGTGAGACCCTGTTTCATTTAAATAAAATACAAAATAGGGCTGGGGATGTGGCTCAGTGTGAGTGCCTCTGAGTTCAATCTCTAGATCCAAAAAATAAAGTCTTGTGTTCAAAACATTTCGGTGGTTTCCCTCACCCTCTGCAGCAATCTCCAACCTGGAGTTTATGTGCCTGAGAAGAAGACAAAGAAGAGAGCTAAAAATACATACTTGTCTATACAAAAAAAAACTAATATTTCATGGGCATTTGTATGTTTTATGACTTTATATGTCTATGAATGAATATTAGTTGTACGGGTATGCGTTTTCCTTTATGATCAGGAATGCAAAATTTAGACACCAGTATGATCAAGTTGAAGCTCTTGCCTCCTTAGACTCTGCCTACCCCTCTGTTCTCATCTGCATTCCTTTTATATACCAATATTACTCTACTTATTCACAATTCTCCCATGTAAACCTCATATTCCTACCTGCCGCTTCTGTTTTTCTTCTATCTTACTGACCTAGACCAACTGTTATCTCTTGTGACTCAGTCCTGTTCTCTAGAAGTTAGGTATTATCTTTTCCTCCAGCAAGTTACTTCCATTCATCACACCTTCTGTCATGATCTGCCATGGCACTGTGTACCTGCCTGTTAACCACTGCATTCACCACACTGTATTCAGAAAAACAACTCGGATGTCTGCCACCAGCCTGTAAAGACATTTTGATTACTCAGTTTGGTGTCCTTGTTGGCACTGTAGACACAGAAGATAGTTAATATGCACTGTAATAAAGCGCTAGTACACCATCAGTGGATGGATGTGTTCCCCTACTGTAAACTCTCAGGTAAGAAAACTGGACTAGTATTTAAGTTCTCACCTGAGAATATCAAAAACTGGAGAGGATACAGTTTGAATCCCAACCAAAGGATGGGGTGGGATTTAGCAGTATTTAATCACTCTTCTCCTAATTAGGATTTGTATTTACTACCATTCAAATGATGGCCATACAATTTAATAACCTGAAATTCAAACAAAGAGATAACAAAAGTTTAATAGCTGAAATGATGGCTGAGACACAAATATTTACCATGTTACCAGAGCAATTTCTCACCTTCTATGGACTCACTGTTGTCAATTCAATGACTGCAGACCTGCTCATCAGAAAATCACACGTATAAGCAAATGATTACATACACACTCAGGAGGTTCACAAAATAGGTATTTAGGACACTAAATTAAGAACCCTAGCTGTAGAAAAATAAATTCAATAAGAGGCTTGACAAGGTCAAAGCTCAGGTACTAGAATAAATCATGCTGTCTAGGTATAATCCTTAACCTCCATCTCAATCCAAGGAGAGGCATATGAAAAGAATTCCCTTAATATGTGGCTAACATGTCAATTAGCCCTTTTAGAGTATCTCATATACCATGAGGCAATTCAATCTTGTTGGGCTTAGTTTCTTGTGAAAGCATTGAAATGGTAAACATTTAAGTACTGAATATTAATATACTTATAATCAACATACTAATGTCCTATTTTGAAATGCATTTTTGAGAGTTTACAATAAATAAAGCCTTAGTTAATAGGCTGTTAAGGAAAGTTTCAGTGTTTCCTTAAAAAAGTTTACTTTATTGACATGAATGGCAAATTTATAAAAAGGTAACATGTCTTGATCTTTTCAAAATTATGACAACATCATTAAAATGAAAATTTTGTGTGTACAGTTATTTTGCTCATACTGTACAGAAAAAGGAAAGCAAATATTCACGGGGTTCTCTGGGTTTCAAGATTTAAAAATATCACAATGCCTTGACTGAATAACATGATTACAAATGGGTATATATAAAAACTGCAGATGTGTGTGCTTCACAACATCTCCCTTCTCTCTCATTCTCACTTTCTTCAAAAATCTCATTTATTAACAATTTGTTTACACTTTAAAAAATGCTTTCATAAATCTTACAGGTAGTTAGCTTAAAATGATTGCTTGGATCTTTAAATAAAACTAACAGTGGATTAAAAAGCAATACAAGTGCATTCAATACTGATCAATGTTTGAAATACCAAAAAAGAAAAAAAAAAAAAAAAAAAAAAACAATAACCCAAATCCTCTTAAATATATAAATATGAAAACCTCCATCAATAGTTGAAACAAAGTGTATTTAATGGTTTTAAGGGAAAAGGGAAGTGGGCACTTTATGCCAGAAGATTTAAAAAAGACTTTTCTAGCAAACCCTGCTATGGAAAAGCCTCATATTTTGAAAATTTAAACCTAATTTGAATGAAGAACTATTAAAAAAAAAAAAATCACACCCACAAGTTAAAAAAAAAAAAAAAGGAAAAAAAAAAGCCACCCGGTAATTTGTGAAGGTGCAATATGTCAGTGTAGCAAATTCATTTCAAAGAAACAGGGGCTTCTTAGGCCTTAAAACTCCCTTGGTTTCCATTAAAATGGTTTCACAGTTGTTCTGCGTAACACAGGACTGGGTAATGAAGCTTGGGCCCCCTAACACATGCTATTAATTAATTCTAACATAAGTGAGTATGAAACCTGGAAAGTGAATTGTCAACATCTGATTGATGAGGTACAGATTATCTGAATAAAATTTATGACCTGGCACGAGGAATCAGTAATCCCAACTCAAGTTACTGCTTTGTAATGAATTCTGTATGGTTTGCATGTCCTTCAATAACTGAAGATTTTTCCTGCTTTTTTCTCCAGGTCTCTGTTTGGCAAAATCCTTCTTATTTGTGGTCCCTGTGACTCCAGAAGAACGGCTGCTGACATTTCCTTCTTCATCGAGAGTCTTTTTGTTAGCTCTTAATTCTTTCTTTTGCTTCTCTATCTTCTGTTTGTCTAGCTAAACCAAATAAGCAAGGTAGGGAAAAGAAGAATTTAAGGAAAACATTTTCTTCTGATGAGTACTTTTAAAATAACTCTCACATTAACAAAAACTCAAAATATACATTCTAGGTATGTATTTTTAACAGCTTGAAGCCTATGGCACTCGTCATTTAATACTCAGTACTTAAAATATTTAACAGTATTAAAAATGAACAAAAGTACACACATCAATTCCAGTTCTTTATCATAAATTTAAGGCAGCACTACCCAAATCCAGAATAGGTGGGTTAGAAGGAAAGCTGAGGAAAGGACTGAGGAGGCAAAAAATGAGAGACTGGGAAAGGAAAAATGAGAAAGACTTTGGCAGATGGGGGAGAAGGGCATTGTAGAAACAAACTAGTGTGAGAGGCCAAGAGGCAATCTGCAGATAGATGAAGAAATGTGGTAACTTAGCAATATGAAAAGGATTTTTAATTCATTATTTTTCAAATACTTTAAAATAAAGGAGCTTTATTTTTACTCTAGCAAAACTAGTGTTTGCATGTTGGTTTTTCATTAGAATAAAGCCAAGTCTGCTGTACAAGAAACATATTAGAACAATACTCTGAAGTAATTGTATGCTTCTATTTTTTTTTTTAACATGAACTTTGGAAATAGTACTTTTTTAAAAGACCACATTTTGGATCCCATGTTTGCATTCCAGTTCTGCCATTTACCAGTGAACTAGTTGGGCCAAGTACTTTAGTTTTAAGTCCTTAGATGACATTCTTAAAGCACTTTGGCACTGTGTGTATCATATCATACCAATCAATAAGTAGTTGTCACATCTCTCAAACCACAATCTTTCATAATAAATCTCCCTCTATACTTTATCCAGCACCAAGTAGCCCTGATATTTCTATTTCTAAAACAAACATCAAATTTGTGCACCTCTGCCCAACTCCAAATACTATCTTGACCCTGTGACAACCATTTTTGATAAGCCTAACAGCCTAAGTGAACTCAGTCTTTTAGGGCCCTGATCTCATCCTCTTAGTCTTAGTAGTCTTAAATACACAAATCATTGTGTTTGTCTGTGCATGAAAACCCTGAGTATGATTTCACCACTGCACTTAGTAAATACCATGACTGGTTTATGATGAAATCCATTCTAACTAAAGATAACATTTCTTTGCTAACCCACTTAATACTAATTTTAATACTCATTGTTTAATAAACTCAATTCTTCTGTAAAGAAGTGTCTCTGGTAGTTCTTTATGACCCACTTGGTGTCATTATTAATACATTTGAAGAAAAATATGTTTTAATTATTAAACTTCAGTGAAGGACAACTGAGTTACCTGGGCTTGGTATTTTCTGACTTTAGTTATTTGGTTGGCTTTTGCTTCCATCCTTCCCACTAATGCCTCAAGTTCACACTCTAAATTATCTTTTAATTCCATGGTTGGTGACTCCTGGATAAGTTTTGCAAGCTGCTGATGATCACTATATACAAAGCAAAAGGTAGACTTCATTAAGTTTCTTGTTTTATGGTTAGGTTCATTATATCTTACCATTGAGTCACTGCTGTGTGTTAAAAAAAATGACTCAGTTTAACAGACTACATATGTAGAAAGGAAATTCTAGACAAAGATCTTACGCTTCAGATATTCATCCTAACTCATTAGTTAAGTTTAAATAAACATAAATGTATATCAAGCTCTCAAAAAATGAAATAAAACTTCAATAAAAACCACCTTGTACTTCAAAACATTTAATAGGATCAGAAAAGGAAGACTTTACCCATAAGTTATATTTGTTGAATTATTAGTAATTTTAATTAAATTAATTTAAATGTTAGATTACCTATAAATTGGCTGACATAGATTATGTTCAGTAATATTTCTTGAACAAGCAAAACTATGATTACTAAAGTAACCAAGAAACTAAAAAACAATAAGACTTTAGAACTGAATATATTTTAAAAAACAAAAACTAAAACTCACAAGCTCATTTGCCCAAATTCATCCTGCAAAGTCTGTAAGACTTCTGACAACTCTTCATTAATGGTGCTGGAGGAGGAAGGTGTTACAGACTTCTTACTTTTACTACTTCGTGAAGATACAGATACTTGTTTTGCCAAAGGAACACTGTTGACTAC